TTCACTAAAACTAATTTTTAGTTTTCTTTCCAAATTTAGGAACAAACTGCAGGCCAGCTGTTAAATGTAAGACCAGATACCTTAATAGTTAGTTTAATGATTCATTGTCTGAATATTTCACATTTTGCACTACATTTTAAATTAGGCATTTCACTGCGTTTGAACTCATTAAGAATGAGTTAACATGCAACAATTTGTTTACAACAAACTTAAGCTCATGCATATTCATGAAATAAAATATACTAACCTTTCAGATAAGTACGTGTAATTAATTACATTATGTCTTGGGGTACTATCACTGTTTTAGAAATACAAGAGCCATTTTTGTGCTTATGTTGACAATAGGGACAAAGATTATGGAGATTATAATTTAAGAAGAAAGCAAGAATGACAGCTAAGTAATTAATTAATCGTATTTTCATCAAGTTTGAATTTTATGTAGAATGGATCAATGGATAAGTTCTTTTAAAAAGTATTTATGTCATATGTGCCCAGTTGTGGTTCAGGAATAAAACTGAGTTTGTTTTTGGTTTAGACATAGTTTTGAAAGGGCCAAATTAGGGAACTAGTGCGATACCTTTTTCAGTACCTTATTTTTAACATTTATTCCTTCTAATCAGAAAATTTGCAAAATAATTTAAGGCTCAGAATAACCGATGTACGTGGCAAAGACTGGTACTTAATTAAAGCCAAGTACTACCAGTTAATCAATTAAAAAATATTTATATTGCTTATTCGAATTTTTTAAATTACTTTATACATTGTCACTAGACCCATATCACCATACATACAAGCGTCTTTTTATAGAAGGCGTGAATCCCGTCGTACTACTAATGTTCATTAATTACTTATCAGTTGAGGCCAAATTTCTTCGAAATGCGCAACAATTACCAGTTAGTTGTCATCGACAAAATGCAAAATTAAAACTGATTTTTGCTTAGGTCCAATTTGCCAGACTAAGCTATGTTTATTTATTTATTGGTATATTTAATAGTAATTCATTTCACTATTAAGATTTCTTTTAAGTAAGAAATTTCCTGGAAAGTTTTTATATTGAACTATAACTAAATTGCTCTCGAAAAGTTGCGCATTTGACACTACACTAAATATTTACCTTGAAACACTTGTTTAGATATGAGGAAGACTTCTCTTGGATGTTGCTAAAACAAAATTATTATACGAAGGTTTAAGCACTTATTTGATCCTTAAGTACTTCGCTGTATCTACTCAAACCATTCTTCTATGGGTAAGCTAGAGCATTCAATTCTTTGGCTGATGGATCAATATAGGATAAAAAAAGGATTTGGAAACAAGGAAATCTTGAAAACTTCAACATACTCTTGTCTGAAGTCGAGCACTGAACTTTCGAATGAAAAGCAACGGTTATGTTGCAAGATTTTCTTTTGTCGTCATATTACGAAAGCTCTTTCATTTATTGCATATTATTGAATCGCATTATAACTATTTTCGCATTGTAATTAATATGTCGTATAAACAATGTTTTAGAAACTATATTTTAATTACTTCATATTTGATCAAAATACTTTGTAACGGCGGCTCCCTCACCGCGTATTCGAAAGGTACAGGTTCGAGTCTCTGCGACAGCACTGTACATTTTCACAAATCCTGCTTCAAAATAACCTAATGACTCTACAGTGGCGCCCGAACTAAAAGGTGGTGAACAATAATTCGTCACCACTGAGATTTGGCGATTGGGTCACCGAATTCCGGTCGCTCTATAGAAAAGGGAGAGTATATAAAAATACCAGAAAGGGGGAGCACACCAGAAGTGTGCGTAGCCCGACCCACCTAACAAAACAAGTTGATTTTATGGTCATAACAGGCCATGCTCAAGTTAACAAAGGAAAATAAGTAAAACATAAAATAATTAAATGAAAATAATCATGTGTTAATAATAATGGAGCATATAAATGGGAAGAATTACACGAAATGAGTACATTCTAACTATATGTTACTTGAATATATTATTATGGGTTTGAATAAAGGTAATGAAAATCAGTTCGAAATCAGTATGTGAGAAAATTTAATGTACAATAAAACTAACAATGCATTTATCATTATGTAAAATTACTGCGCTCATTTACGTGTGAGAATTTACATGTGAGAATTTACGTGTTTTTACGTGTGAAATTTAAATTACTCTATTGATGTGCACATCTATCGTAGTCTAAAATTCATGCCTCAGATACAAGCTTCTTTCTTTTTAATTCATGAGTTAGCCTATAATAATTCTACATTTTTGTAATTTTTACACAAATCTAACAATGAAGATTGGGATATTTCTGGAATTAAAGCACATTTAGTTTCATACAGAAAGTAATGCAAGAGGCATATAAATGAAATATACATGAAATCCTAATGAAAAGATTCATGCTTAGAATTAATAATAAGAAAGAATGAACATCCAAAGACACTTCGCTTTCAAATTAAGAAGACCAAGTAACTCTTACCAAAATGAGAAGAACGTATGAAATTAGCGGGAAAAAGTTCTGGCATATTAATTAAAGTTTGTTAGTACAAAATATAGGTTATAAAATAATAAGCAAGCATTTAAGAAAATGAATTTACAGCTCCTGTAAAACCTGTAAGGTAGGGCTTCTCAACCGAGTAGTACGCGTACCACTGGTGGTACGTAAGAGAAAAATATGTGGTACGCAAACAGGCAAAGTATTTTTAACAATTAAATTCAAAAATTAAAACCCCAACATCCTGATAGAGGTTTTTCTCTAACACTCGTAAATTTATGCTTTCTGAGCTTTGTTCAAGAGTGGTGGTTATAGTAGTACTTTGTAGTGGTGGTACTGAAGGCTTTCAATTTTTGTTTGGATGGTACGCATTATTCAAAAGGTTGGGAACCGCTGCTATAAGGTATTTTCTCCCACCTTTCCACATGCCTTCTTGGTCTAACAGTGGCACACTCGGCGCGTAGCGAGAGTTCCAGGTTCGAGTCCCGGCGAAGAAATTGCTCATTTTACATATCTCCTGCTTCAAAATAACCTAATGAACTTATAAATTTTTATACAAAAACAAAGATACATTTCTGGCAGTTTCCTGTAATTCCACGATCGTTACAACTATGTATTTCATTCATTCCTCTCTCTCTATCCAACTTATCATTCATTTAGGCAAAACAAGGGAAACGCATGAGTAATATGCATATAGTAATTATAACTATCACATTTTCACTAAATAAAGCGTTCTAAGACGCTATCTCGAAATAAGGAACTTACATTCTCGAAGTTGCTTTTAAATCCGTCCTTTAAACTGAATAAATAACCTTTCTTTTGCAATATTAAAATGATCGTCAAATCCCCTTTAAATGATTAACTAACTTCATACATTTTCCCTTAAATTTTATTTCTGTTTCAAATTATTTCGTAACATCAGAGTGATTCAACGAATTTTGTTCAAACTGAGATTCAACACCGAAGCTAAAGACTTGCCCTAAACCTCTTTAAATTCTTCATTTATATGACAGTTAGTGACTCAATGATTAATACTCTCTTATTAATTTTCGTAGCCGTGTTCGAAGGTTCTCAGCGTCGATGCTACACAAACATTTCCAAAGATTTTCACTAGGATGGCTGTAAAATTCTTTGACCTTGAATACAAATTCCACAGTCTACATGGCGGTTAATTCTTGCTTATCTTTTCGCATCCATCCATATTTCTCAAAAGTGTCACGCGCCTATCAAGACCTCCCGTGGTTTCGCGTTGTTAGCAAACTGAAGGTCTAAATTGAAGGAATGCGGATCGTCTGGGCTACTGTTATTTTTTCCACCCAATTTTACTTCTCCAGTCTTTAAGCGTTTGGGTGTATATGTCTAGGAATTCAAAAGGGGTAAGGGCATACGCTATTTGAAGAAACAGATCGACGACGTTATTGTTAATGCAATCTGAGCTTGGAGATGTCTTTCTAGATAATTTCTTTATGATGATAAGCTATAAGCGACGGAGGACGTGGGCATTGTTCCTTTGCCATTAGGTTAATCAGTAAAGCACCACGTCCAGCCTTATCTAGAGTTGGCGAGTTGGTGTGGTCACACGAGAGCCTCGCACAATCTTTATGATCTTTATGATATGAATCTTTATGATGATAATATTCTTATCATCTTATGATGATAAGGATATTAAACACAACCGAATACGAGATGTGATTTTCCTTCAAGATACAAAAGGTGTTGGTGTTGGTGTATTTAATAATGGCAAAACACACTAGGGCTATCTGCCTAAGGGAAGGAATGCCTCCGTGGAGGACTTTCTAAGGGAAACTGGCTCGTATACACGTTACACATGGGGAAAACCACGAAAACACCCATGCAGCCAGCCCGTTCGCGGGATTCGAACCTCGAACCGAACTACCAGTGTTCAGCGACTTTACCGCTCGGCCGCTGGTGGGCCCAAGATACAAAAGGAGATGGTACAATGCAACAAGTTATAGTAAGGCATAAAACGTACTGCTCACAGATTACGTTTCGTAATAATGATGCATTTTTTAGAATATGATTTTAAAATGGCTCAGCATTCTGTCCCGAACTCATGCCCTCCGAATAGACTATTTTAATATTTTAAACGCCTTTCCAGAGACATGCATATGTTAGCCTCTAAAGCTAAAAATATAGTTCATAAGTATTGAATATATACTATAGCTGGTAGGCGTAAGGGGAGGATTAAATATAGTCTACAAGCAACAAAGAAGAGTAGTCTATCATTAATATAGCTTTTTATGTGATTCAAAGTTCATTTATGCTCTAAATGCTTGAGGAATACATGAATTTAGACTAACCTGATAAGATTAGGCAATAAAATAAAGTTATCTAAGTAAATAAAGTTAAATAAGGTTAATAATTAACCAAATAAGGTTAAGGAAGTCTCCGCATAGGCTTATGCTAGGTGTTTTTAAATTTTGAAATAAAAGATAGATTGATTTGGCATAAATTTTATTATGGATAATGTTAATTTTCTTATCTCTGATGAAGTATACCGTTTCTCTTTCAGGCTTATATTTCCACATACTAGGTGAAGGCGTTGTCCGACTTTCCGATAGAGGAAGTTCCAACTACAATGACAAAGAAAACTATATTGATTTCAAAATGAGAATGTTAGGAGAAGGTCCGCCAGTGGGAGGTAAGTTAGATGTTGAAAGATGAACTTAAAAATTATAATTGGAACTGTACCAATATCCTTGCTTGTGTGTGAATATTGATGATATATATTTTTAGTAGTTTTAGTTTACTGTGAAGTATAGTAAAAAACCTTGAGCGTTTGTATGTGTTTTCAAAAATCTCTGTTATGTGTTTACTGCAAGCAGTCGGAGTTGATGCAGATAAGATTATATACATCATTTACTGGACATTGAGCAAGTACTACCCGCTGGCTTTTAAGAGGAAAGGAAAAAAAAAGATATTCCGTCAATTCATTCATTTACATTTTCAAGTATTTTACAGCACTCGTAAACGCACAGGATAGTACTTCAAACCAGATGCCTTGTTATGTACATCTACTTCCTTTTGACTAAAGTAGCAACAAGCTTCAGATATTATCCTCTTAATGATGGATCTTGCAATCACGCAGTCAAGAGAAATCACTCAACTGTATGAATTTCCCCTTCTATGCACCGTGCCTTCGTAGTGTCACTGGAAGTACGTCCGACTAGCAACTGGAAAGTCCGAACTCGAACCCTGTGAGGATATCTCTGATTTTTTTGTATTTCGTGCCTTCAAAATCCTGATAGACTGTCATACAGATCTGCCATATTTCACACCCTCGTCTACTGAAGCAAGATGCGTAATGACCATACGCGAGATTTGCAAAAATGGACCTGTATTTCTCCATGGGCTTTATATTCATCATATGCTATTCTATAATGGTCACCTTTGAAAATTAACATTGTTTAGTTCGATGCAGAGACCAAAAATGCATTAAGCAATAAACATATGCAGTGTAGGATATAGCAATCTATGAAACTGGTAACAACTTTAGTTAAGTCTTTAAATGATTTTTGCTGCTGCTATTACAGTTTTGCATAACATTCTACAAACTCTGACAAAACAATTTATATTGCAATTTGTAAAATGCTGTAGTATGTATTGTAATTACTTTATATTGTTTTGATAATTTTAATAGTTTGCATCTTGCATTTTATCTCCTTCTTCTCTTATATTCTCCTTTATTTCTTAAAATTTGCAAATATTTTGAGCATATTGTCTAACTTTTCGCAGTAACCATAGTTGTGCATACCACTTACTCGGTTTTGTGGACTTGAGCTATTCTTTCAAGTCTTCGTAAAGCTGCACATAAGATATCATAACTTACTGTGGAAAATTTTTTGTAAATACCTTTCATAATTATGCCTAGAATTATAACTGCATAGTATTATCAAACATATGTATTATAATATTTGCATTTGTAAAGCTTGTAGTGATTAGATATTTGTAAATATGAAACATCTAGTAGAATTTTTATAAGGTATTTCTTCCGCCTTCTTAGCATGCCTTCGTCGTGTAACGGTCAGCACACTCGGCGCGGATTCGAGAGATCCGTGGATCGAGTCCCGGCGAGGGCATTGCTTATTTTTCATCTGTCCTGCTTCGAAATAACCTAATGTCTCTACAGTGGCGCCAGAACTAAAAAAGGTGGTGGATGATGATTCTCCACCACCAGCATATGGCATTTGGGATCCATAATGTCTAGCCGTCCTTCAAAAGGGTGAGTATATAAGATATTTCTCCCGCCTTCTTAGCATGCCTTCGTGGTGTAATGGTCAGCACACTCGGCGCCTATTCAACAGGTCCGTGGATCGAGTCCCGGTGAGGGCATTGCTCATTTTTCGCTTCTGCCGTATGAAAAATACCTAATGTCTCTACATGGTAACTGTGTGTATTGTCACATTTTTCATGTTTATCGGATATATAAAACGTGTTGCATGGACTTATCAAATATTCATAACTAAATAATATTCCATACATTCATCTGCTCCATAAAGTAATGTTTTGAAAATGTGTTGGCTTTATACTGCACTCCCATAATTAATAGTATCGCAGTTTATTTGTCCGCATCTTATTAAATCTACCTATATAATAGATGGGTTTATTTTCTCCCATTCGTTTGACAAAGTGGCTGAAATTTGCCTTTACTGACTAACTGTTCAATCCCTTATGTTAAATTAGATACAGACATGCACACAGGATTTACTGAAACGATCAGTTTACATGAATAGTCTGCTAATGGTTCTTATGTCATGTAATCAAGCTTAAATAATTCAGGTTTCATTTTCAGTCTAATACCTGTACCGGTTACTGGCTTCAGTAGCTTGGTATGTAAGTGCGCGCTTGATCGAGTAAAGTAAGAGGATTAAATTCCAATGAAAACCAAAGTTTTTACAAATTCGCTTCAAACAGTTCGGAAATAAATAATTTCTTAAACTGATTTAAGAAAATAAAATAGTGAAAACATCACGTATATCATGTTTCTGAAAATAAAGGTATTAAATTAGTTTAAAAGAGCGAATTTTAAAATGAAAAAATTCATTCTGGAGGAAAACAAAAAAGAGTCACTTTAATGTAAACCAAAGATTGCTTTTAAGTCACACTTTCTTATGCACTTATTTTTAAACAAGCTTTCAGGAAAGGTTATTCTCGTAAAACTAGGTGGGTAATAAATCTGACAGATTTTTTTGCTTTCTCATTCTGGAATGCGGGAAACCAGGAAGGTGATAAACAGGTAGAGCAGATTGTCGACGTAATTTAAATATCATGTTACAAGAATTAAGTTACTGAATGGCCATATAGTTGCTTTTCTTAATCGCGCTTGAGGTCTGAAATATTTTTTATGATGCACTGTATCTTGTTTTTTTTTTCCTTTTGTTTGTTTGAAAACCAAAATAAATGCGATAATAAATGTATTAGTATTATTTTCGTTCCTAACTCGCATAAACTGGTATGCTAAGTAGACGCTTTCCCTATGGAAAATCAATTTAAGAAACGGATTTTGAGATTTTTAAATAACGAATAATCAATACCAATAAAAATTGTAGAAGAATAATCAGTACATGTAGAAATGTAGATGAATAATCAATACCAATAAAAATTGTTTGCTAAGTTACTCTTATTTTTTCTTTAAGTTATGTTTTCCAGTGGCGAACGTCTAAAATTTAATATGCTTTTTTATTTCAATAAGGACCCTAATGAAAAAATTAGGTTTTAACCAAACTGTATAACTCAAGCTCCAAGTGAGAAGATTTTAGTGGTCTCCAGATTATCTTGTAACAGACTTCTTATTTGAATAAAAGTATGTCTGTATTTTCAATTTTGAGAACTATTCATGCTAGATAAAATACCATATTAATATTTAATTGAGAATGAATAAGAATATGTATAAAATTGTAATAAAATTTTCGATGTTAATTAAAGTGATTCTATTTCCTTTTATATGAGTAAAAACAACACTATCACAAAATCGGCAGTATTTCTGTTTCTTCGCATAAAACTGGGAAAGAGTTTGTTAGGAAACTCGAAAAAGAGGCATTCAAGCAAAGTATTTCAACTGTACCGCCCAGCTCGTATAGTGGTTAGCGTCGTTGATTGCTGTGCTGAAGGGCTAGAATCCCGGAGAAGGCATGGTTGTTTGTAAATGTATAGTGTCCGTGCGGCATGGCGGCATGCGGCTAGCCGATATTCCCCTCGTGTTGTTTGGTGGAAGGGAAGAGCGGTGCGAGACCCTCGGACCCGCATCCCCGGGATACTATCCGTCAAAATTGGAGGCGGAACTTGCACTGTCACCTGAATGGAGCTCAAGGCTGTTGCCAACGACAGGCGTAATCATAACTACGTCAGACAAGTGAGCATAAGCAACAACAGCATTTTAACTGTGTTTCAACACAGTTCAAAGCACACTGTGTTGGTAAAGCCCTAACTTTACTTTCGCTTCTATTATCTTTTAATCAAGCGTAAAGCAAATGTGAAAACTTGAATGTCAGATAACAGAAAAATTACTGAGTTTAAAATTTTGTTTTATCTGTTATTGTGAGTTTTATTTATTTTAGTTTTTTAAAAACATTTTTACATGTATTGCTTTCTGGATTTATTCTTTAATTCATTTAGAAAAATGTTTAAATCATAACTTTGTACTAGTGGAATGAATATTTTTAAGATGAAAGGAATTCATAAAAAAATGACGATAAAAAGCGGCATATAGAAAATACAGGTCTAGTTGTTAAATCAGTATTTTCAATTGACATAAGAGAAAGGTTAAATTAACTCGGTGTTTTTAGCTTTAGTATGTTTATCAATGCATTCTAAAGAATAAATGTAATGAGTTGCATTCATTACGTTACTGCTTCGTCAGTTACCGAGTGGTTAAGACTGCTGCATATTGAGAGTTCGACCAATGTTAGATCCTAGACGTGTGGGCTGGCTGTATGGTTGGTTTTTCTTTTCAGTGTAACATGAATAGGGGCATCTTTCCATTAAAAAGTCCTCTTCGAAGGTATCCTTCCTCTTCAGGTAGTTTTAGTGTGCTTTGACATATTTAAGTAATCGTCATGCCATTAAGTAAACTATATTAAAGCATGCAAAATAATAAAATTTGAAACAATATCTTATAAAACTTTTACTGTTTTTTTTTTTTTTCAAATCCAAATTATGATTAGATCTATTTCATGCAAAATTTAATGAAAAAACATTATAAATGAAATTATACGATTTAAGATATGATAAGTTTTAAATACGTGTCATTGTCAGCCGAACAGTCTAACAGTGAGCGGAGACTGACTGATAATTCGTACTTAAAAATATCAGTTAGCGGAGGCTGACGGATAATTCGTACTTAGAGATATAAGTTCAAATCTGCGTAAGCTTCAGTTGTCCATGTCCCCTTCCCCTTTCTCGCGAGTGTAATATCATTCTACTCACACAGTCCATCTTGGATAATGATTCTGAATGATAAGATGCTAAATATTTGATGGGTTCCGCTATTCCCGATAAATACTCAACTAAGGGAGAGATGTGTTTTATTTTGAGTTATTGTAGCAAAAATTATCACGCATACTTATGCATACACAGTATGCGTGCGAGAATGTATTAAAGACTCTGCTTCAGAAATGTCATGTAGATTTTATTATTTAAGTA